AAAAAAAAAAAAAGAAAAACGTACTCTTCGAGTAAGGCGTGATGCATGCTTTCATGAACACGTTCCACACTTCGTCTGGATCATCATCTACCCCACACAAAACCGGCAGGGCACCACTTCCCCTTTTTCTATAACAACTATTGCTCAAAGGCTTAGCCCACACTACTGTCTGGTCCCGCCTTGCCACAACCCTCCAACACATCCTCTTCAGAAGGTTTTGCATTAAGCTCCATATTCTCTGGTTCTTCGGGTCGTGCGCGTAAACCTCCGGAGAAGAGTACACGAAATAGCCACCTGGCCTTAGCAATCGGTCGAGCTCCAGCAAAAGGATTCCATCTCTCTGGAGCCAGTCTATCCTGCATCGGGAGCAGTGAGCCAGCTCAAATGACCTGCTTGGATAAGGTAGTCGTTTTGTGCCTAAAACGCCTAAAGCAGCTGGAATCCCTCTCTCGAGGGCAAACTGTATTTGATTCTCATGAACATCGTTCGGAGCTAGTGACATGGCTATTATGTCGAGTGGAAGGAGGTAAGCTCCAAAACTCGCGACCCCACAGCCTATGTCTAGAACATTCCGGATGCGACCATTGTTGTTCAGTCTTTCACCTGGAAACTTGAGCATCTAAAGAAAACACAACGAGGAATGAGAAAGTTGAAATAGTTCGAACGGGAAGTTTAGGGTGTGTTTTTGTTTACAAAATTTCTCAATCCATATTCAGTTGATACTCAAAATCTAACTCAATTTTAACCCAATCTCACTATCTTCAACAGTATCAATATAATTAAATAATATAAATCATTCATTCTTACTCATCATATTAACTTTAATTCACTATTCATCTGCTCACATGATTTTTACAAACAATCAAATCACATCATCTCTCTCTTACTTTTATATCAAAATTAACCTTAGTTAACCGGAAACACTCGTTTTGAGCAGATATATTTGTATCCAAGCACGCCGTTAGGATGAAATTGAGGTGTGTAGAGGCTAGAGCTCACCCCTGCAATGGCAGCAATGTATATGTCGGCTCCATAGTGAAAATGGGTCCCGCCACCGGGGAACTTTATCCTCTCCCCATCAACAAACATCCAATTCTGGTCCGATTTTTCTTGCGCGAGATGGGTGTGGGGTATGTTCGCCTTCCATACTTGGTCCCTGCTCGAGGGCCATCTAATGGGGATCTGAATCAAGACTAACAAAGGTGAATGAAAATGATTACATCACAGATGCCACATGTAATGGTTACAAAAAATGCCAGCATCATAATAAGTGAGTATAGACAGACAAACAAAACAACCTTGTAGCCAATAGGAGGCGGAATAAGGCAATTAAAACGGCGTTCAGCGGGCGGGCAATGCCGTTCATAATGCTCCATTAAGCTCAAATTAACCTTCAGTTTAATTTGGTAAAAGATCAAATTCCTGTCCAAACATGGAATCAACTCCGAGTACCTCGAATCACAAACCTACATAACAGGGGGATAAAATAAATAAAAGTGTGCAAACTCACTTAAATTTAAACTCCAGATTTTGTAATTCGAAAAGAGATCCAATCTTTATTTACTGGAATGGTTCTGGGGACTTGGAGAATGCGCTCGTCGTCGTCTTCGTCGTGGTGGATTTCACCGGAATCCTTCTTCAACAAAAACCTTCCACGGACCGGGTCAACGCCGTCCTCGAATGAATCGTCGCCGCGTGGCAATCTGCTGGCGAACAGCGAGCCGTTGTACAGGCAAACGAATCCCAGCGACAACAACAATCCGATGAAAATGTACTTTAACAGCCTCGGCTTCATTTTTCTAATCCCAAAAAAANAAAAAAAAAAAGAATGAAGTGAAAGGAAATGACAAAAAGTATATAAGAGTAGAGCAAATCTGTGCCGCAATTATTGCTCAAAAGCCAAAACCCAGGAAGGAAGCAGCAGATCCTTTAGCTGCAGGAGGAAGTCAAAAAACATTCAAAATGAGAATTAATTGCTTTTTGCCGTTCTGTTAATTTTGGCTTTTCCTTGCTTTTCGATGTACGCGAAGAATAATATACTCTCGGAAAGGAGCTCCGACAAATGAAAACGGTGCAGTTTTTTTTATGATGACGACGGCGAGATTGCCGCCGTTTTTCTGCTTTCGACTGAGAACAAAAAAAAAAAAAA